AATTGGGTGTACCACAGTCTGCAAGCACTCTAATAACTCATATATAGCGAGATTCATTCTGTAAGTTCTGTTATTGTAGAGAAACTTGATTAATACAGCTGTGGAACATGAAATCAATTGATACACATTTGATACAAGTGAAGTGAAATGAAATCACAATATTTCTGTCAACAGCATAAAAACAAAACAATACTTGGGAATTAATGGAACAAAAGGACTGTAAATTAATGCAGTGTTGTCATCAAAATGTGCCCAAAATGTTAAGAGACTTGAGTAAATGAGAAGCAGTCTCTGTTGACGATTAGAAGATCTGACACTGATGAGATGTGTGTCCTCTACAATGTGATGTACAGAACCCAGACAATCCCTAAGGGAATCACAGCTGAGTTCTTCATAGGAGCCAACATACTTAATCTGAATTATTATCTCATATCACTTCTAAAAATTAATATAAGGTAGATACCCAGAACCCAAAGGTAAACTCCTATAAATAGCAATACAGGGGTGAATATTTATGACATTGGTCTTGGCAAAGATATTCTTTTACAAAGTGTGTGTAGCTTATACCTGTGTGCAAGTGTTGTTGGTATGTGTAGTTATATGGATGTGTCTACCCTCACCTCCCTGGAACTGCTGGTTATAAACAGGAGCCACCACACCTGGCTTTTTATATGGGTTCTGGTGTCATGCTTATGTGGCACTTTACTAAACGAGCTATCTCCCCAGTCCTAGCACAAAGATTTTTGTTTGTTTGTTTTTAAATAAAAGATTATAACAACTTGTAATTCTTTAAATATCCTAAGTCATAGTGCTACTATGTTGTGTTACTGAATAATTTTAAGAGGTAAAAAAAAATAGAAGAAATAAATAAAGTATTTTATTTCTATTATTAATGACCAAACTAGAAAATAAAGCCAACAGTCCAAAGCAGAGTTAAACAACAGACACATCAATGGTCAGGGCTGCTGAAATAAATCTACTAACAAAAAACTGTCTAGTTACATGCAATAATGACTTATTTTGTTTGTATAGAACAAGAAGATGTGTGACTTATTTAAATAGGAACCATAGTCAGCAGTTAAAATACAAAGGACCCTGAGCTACAAAATACCCACAATCAAGAACAGGCTCAATGTGCTAGAGAATCAGGTTGTCCAGACTAGGCATCCTCATCCACTGAAGGATAACCAGGGAGGCTTCTGTCTACTGCAATGGCTTTTGAAACTTTCCACAGTAACAAGTGGTGTGAGAAGTGAAAACTTTCTGTTATTTGAGTATTAACTTTGACTCAATCTATCATGTACAATTTCATTGTATTTATCTTTTATTTACATTTATTTTTATTTTGTCTTTCTTTTATTAAAAATAGATTTTCTTCATACAATATATTCTGATTATGGTTCCCGTCCTCCATCTCCTCTGAGTTGCTTGCCACCTTTCCTTTCAGCAGCATCCACATCCTTTCTGTCTCTCCTTAGAAGACACACTGGTATCTTAAGAATAATAATAAAATATAATAAGATAAAACAAACAGAAGAAAAAGCACTGAAGAAAAATTGTGAGATACACATGTAGATGGATAGACATACAGTTAGAACACAGTATAGGTATGGAGTTGTGTGAGAATTCTAAGTGCTTGTGAGAAAACTCCAAGAAAACAAGACAAGAATCTTGTGACTTCAGTTTCTTCAAAACACAGAATTGTTTTCAGAAATGTGCTTTTGTGCTCCTTTAGGTATAGCAGATGCCTCTATGGAAAAATACATTTTTGCCTCATGGGGCTTGTCCTTGTGATTGTACACTTTACTGAGTTGACTCTTCTTACCTGCAGAGTATATACTGTTTGCTGCTCTCAATAATGTGGGCTACCATATGAAACTTTAGTGTGACTCACTTTTATGTCCCATTCTCCCAGGATTATACCAGCAACTAGAGTAGCAACAACGTACATGTTTCATACACATAGGAATCACTAAAAACATAAAACTGGAAGCTGTAACAGAAATGCAAAAGACCTATAAGTTTTTTAAAAAAATGCCCTGTAAAGACCTTAGGAGACAAAGAATCTCCAACGATGTCACTGCGTTTGCTTGTTTTGATCATCTACTGCTGAGCATGGGGACTGGCCTGACGAATGGTTTGTATCCCCAGTGAGACTCCCTTGAGGGAACTGATTTTTTCCTTTGTGAATGGTTTTTAGTTGGAAATATCTACTAGGTTGGGAGGGAAAGGGGCTGTGTTTCTTTCAGCACTGGGACCCATCCGGGTCAGATCCCTGCAGGCTCTCTGAGAGTTTATATCTGTGTCAGTCTTGCTATGTTTAGAGGACCTTGTTTCCTTAGCTGTCATTCTGTGGAGAATATCCAATAGCCTTGGCAATAGCCTGGGTTGTTTGGGGGTTCCCATGGGGCCCCTTTGGACAACAACTTGATTAGACATAGCCATTCCTGACAATGGAAGCTTCATTTGGTCATGATGAGAGACGCCCAGTTGGGCTGCATGTCTTCTGTCATTTGGCAATTTCATTTAAATTTCGTTCATACACTAATAGATTTTAGGAAGCTTGTATTGTATCATTTTCCATACAGCCCTTCCAATGGCCCTTAACATTAGCTGTTCTCCCTGTAGTTCCTTCTCCCCCTCTTCCTTCTCCCTCTCCATTTGATCCTCCTGTTCTTCTCTCCACCTTGTTCATCCACAACTATCTATTCTATTTTCCTTTCTTAAGGAGATATCTATCACCTCCTAGTCCCTTACTCTATACATAAATCTATGGTTCTATAGATTATAGTGTGCTTATCATTGACTTAAAAAGCTAATATTTACATATAAGGGAATAAAACTGTGTTCATCATTCTGGGTCTAGGCTACCTTACTCAGAATGATTTTTTTTCCTAGTTCCATACATGTGCCTACTAATGTCATGATTTCATTTTTCTTTAATAGCTGAGTAAATCTGCATTGTGTAAATGGGCCACATTTTCTTTATCCATTCATTTACTGACAGAAATCTATGCTGTTTCCAATTTCTGGCTATTAAGAAGACAGCAGCAAGGAACATGGTTGAACAAGTGTTTCTGCGGTGGGATTAAGAATCCTTTGGATATATGCCCAAGAATAATATAGGCAGACCTCGAAGTAGATCGATTCCCAGTATCCTGGAAAATGGCCATACTGATTACCATGGTGGCAGTCCCACCAGCAATGAATGAGTTTTCACCTTACTATATCCTTGCCAGCATGAGCTGTCATTTGTTTTATTGTTCTTGGGCATTCTGATAGGTGTTATATGAAATCTCAAAGTGGTTTTGATTTGCATTTCTCTGAATTACAGATGTGCCCCATCATGCATTTTTCATCTGTTATCACAAATATGTGGAGAAAAACAATTATTTTAAAACTTGAAGCAACCCATAACCACACAAATGAATAATGGCACATTGTATTTAGGCAAGATCAAACATTACAGACTTCCAAGAGAGCACTATTCTTCAAAATCAGGATGTGCATAGAGCTGTGGGAACTGGAGGATGAAGGGTATTGTAAAGAGCTCAGGGAAGTGTACTTGGACTTATGACTCCCATTACCATCCAGACTAGGATGCTACAGTCCCTCTCCTCCATCTCTCCTTTGACTTAGTGCTTTACCCTTCCTCGTACCAGTACTGAGAAATGCAGTCAGCACTAGATCTAGGAGAGAACTTACTGCTGTCTTCCTTGGATCCTTGTAAGTAATGGAAAATGTGGGAATTAAAACAGTTGATTTAGGTTACAATGTTTCCAAAATACTTCTAATGGGAGCTCCTATTAGCTTCAGATGAACAGCTTGAGAGCCCATCACACACTTAAATACAGGAAGGAGACTTGCTCTCCTCTTTCCAACTGACAGGTCTCTAGATGTGTTTCAAAGCATCTCCAGTTTTCCTAATTGTTTCATCACTGAATCATAGAAAAGGCTTAAAAATAATTTTTTTATCTTCAAACTATTTCAGTGGTGAACATGTTAAAAAATAATACCATAGTTGTACATACCTCTTATACAGCTTTAGAGAGATCACGGTTAATCATGGCTGATTTATTCCATGTTTGGCAGTTTTTTCTTTTGCTTTGAAAGGTGCATCAGCATTCATTTAGTAAACAGATTCTTATTTTCTTTTTCTTTTCTTTTCTTTTTAAGACAGGAAGTCTTTGCATAGCTTAGTATAGCTCAAAATTTTTGGAAAACATTTTAATATTTAATAACAGCAGCTAATCTGTGAAAGCTCACAGGTTTAATTATGAAAACAACTTGCAAATTCAGAACGCAAGCTACTTCTAAAAAGTAAAGTATGCTTCCTGTACACAAATCAAGAGAGCAGAGGACAACATAGACATGGCATCAAGAGGCATAAAACAAAATGAAACAAAATCAAGAAAAAGAGAACTACACCATCAGAATTAACTTAATTAAGTTTTAGGAACCAAAAATACTAGCAAAGAATTTTAAGAACATATCAGTCAGCCATATATCTGATGAAGAACTCACAACTAGAACATGTGAAGGACTCACATCCTAGGTCAAAGGGAACAATTCAATTACTAGAGCAGCAAAAACATGATATGACTTTCTCCAAGGAAGATAAACAAATGTCCCATATAGCTTATAAGAAAGTTGCTAGGCTATCATAAGTCATCACCAAAACAAGTGGAAATTACAAGTACCACTTCTGTGGATCCAGGCAACATGACAGAAGAGAAAATGACAAGGACAACTGAGGGCATAAAAGTTGAAACACTCAGATGGTGGTGGTAGAAATTGGCAGGGGCTACAGAAATCAGCCTGTCATTTCATCCTTAGGTTACCTATATGAACACCAAAGACAACAACTGCCAGGCATGGTGCACATGTCTGTGAAGAAGAGGCTACCCAGAGGCTCATGTTTTCAGAGTCATCTCTGCCCAAAACAACAACCTCTTCCCCATGAAAGCTAAACCCTTCCTTTCTAGAAGGGTTTTACTTACTGAGATTCCATTTCAGGCCTGTTGTCGTCACCTGGTTGCAAGGCTGTCCAACAGGAATAAGGCCACACCAGTTGCCTTCCATTCCAGTGTCTACATGGAGCCTGTGCTTCCCCTGAAGAAGAAGAGCAAGTATGAAGAAGGGCAAGACAGGAACAACCTGCAGCATGCTGGCAACCAGCTAATAACACTTAATGTGGCTTATCATCATACTAGCCACAAATTAACTCAGCACATTCTTTCATCTGATTTAGACCTACTTTTCTATATCAGCTTACTATTAGTTATAAGCTTTACACTGAAACATTGGATGAATATGTCCAGGGCCACACAAATAGTCTTATTCTTGAGACCTACCAATTGTAAAGATACCATCCATTGTACCTGCTGAAGATACAACCTTTTGTGACAATGAATTCTAGACTTACATCCAAATATGCATTCAATTACATATAAAAGACCATCTCCCAAGTAAAATCTTTACTTATCTATGAGTCAGGTTTCTAATATTCAGAATTCAACATAAGCACTGTAAATGTTAGCCTGTCCCCGTGGTCATCATTGATATCCTCACAATATACACATAGGTGTGCTGGTTAGTTTTTGTCAACTTGACACAAACTAGAGTCACTTGGGAAGAGGGCACCTCAATTGAAGAATTATCTCTATCAGATTAACCTGTGGGCATATTTCTGTGGGCATTTCCCTGATTAATGGTTAGGTGGGAGAGCTTGGCCTACTGTGGGTAGTACTGCCCCTGGGCAAGTCGTCTTGTGATGATATATAAGCAAGCTGGTAAGCAGCACTCCCCCCCCGTGGCCTCTGCTTTAGTTCCTGCCTTCAGCTTTCTGCCTTGGCTTCCTCTCAATGATGTTCTGTAAACTGTAAACCAAATAAACCCTTTCTGCCCCAAGTTGCTTTAGGTTAGTGTTTATTACAGCCACAGAAAGCACTAAAGGCACTAAAATAGGGAATGTTTTACTTAAATATTCAATCAGATCAGGCCTAAGGATAATCACACAAGTTATGACCTTGATGTCTGTTGTTGGGAGAGAAGAGGACAATCAATGTACTGTGCCATGCAGGAGATAATATGTATACAGAAGCATGGATAGACTGTGGGGTCCATGTAACGTGCCCGAGTGGCAGAAATGAGTCTGCGGGATGACATGTGAAGAATCCTTTTGATCACTGATTAAGTGGAGGGTTCAGCCCGCTATGGGTAGTGCCACTCATGGGTAATTGGTTCCAGGTTGTATAAAAACACAATTTGTTCACGCATGGACCTCCATGTTAGCATCAGAGCTGTGTCTCCACATATAAACACTTCAAGTGACAGTAATGAGACAACACGAGGTCCTTACTCATTACCAAGGAGCCACATGGAGGCATGGTAAGGAACACACTGCAGGAAGTGTATGTGTGTGCATGCGGGCTGGGGACTGTATGGAATCTGATTAATGTACTCAACTGTAAGTCTTCTCTACAAGGAAGAATGTGTAAGTTTTAAAACTGCCTCATAGCAATCCTTCCTTCTCCCTCACCAGGACTGACGTGGGAAGGATGGTGGGTCTGAACCCTCTCTAGATGAGCAGCACCTCCCAATGGGAACAGGAGTCACTTCTCACCAGCCATTACAACTGTTCTGACTTTCCTCTAAAAGTCTTTCATTCTCTGCAAGGCAAGTATGTCTTTGGTGGTTTGTAGAGTTTTCTTTTAAAGTGATTGAGTTTGGATGGTTTACCACACACTTATTTCCCCCACTCCCTCCTTTTCTCCAAAGCAAAACAATTCTCTCTGTAGATATATAATCAGAATACAATACAGCCCAACATCCTGAAAACCACACGCTGCACATTTTAACAAATGCTGAAAGAGGTGAAGATGTTTTCTTTATAATAACAGCAGTTGTCAGTAGAAGGGGTGGCAGAAAATTCCCAGTTCATTAGAGTATTTTGGCTCCAGAAGACAACTATGTGATAGCATATCACGTAGGTAGAACTTGGCCCAGTTTCCTGTTTATGGCTGCACTTCTAGGGCCCTGTGGCAGAAATGCCACACAATTGGAGGTTGACAGCTAAGCTGCAATGCGTTGGCTTGGGGTTGCATATACAGGGCTCAAGAGGGCTGGAAGAGGGATGGTTGGCTTCTGCACGGAGGCCCAGACTGGTGTCCCTCTGACATTTCTGACAATGCGGGTAACTTCCTATTGCTTATCAAGGAGGCATTCCCACATTATGGGTGTATCTTGTTTCCAATGTATTGACATTCACTCTTGCTTTTAATTACATTTCTCCTTGATTTTGGACTGCTTTATGTTTTGGTAGAATCCAGCTAAAGACACTGTATGTTTGGTGTTTTAGAGAAGTGTAGCGAAGAATGATGAAAGAAAGAAAATAATTTTTTTCAACTGGTGGATATTAACTCCCTGAGAGATGATTCTTCAGCTTCCAATATATAATGCAAAGGAAACAGCACATACACATGCTACATTTTATTATCTTGGCAAGAGAAGCGAGGCTGTAAAGTCACTGATTTAAGCAGCGCAGTGGGAAGCCTCCTTACTTGGCGTTGCTAGGTATTCATGGCTTTTCTCATTATTCTAAGAACCAATGCACTTTAATATTTTCATTCTGGGAATAAAATGGTTTAGAGACTTGGGAAGTCACATATAGGTCTTAGACTATCGTCAATTAGCATTTTGTCTCTTGCTTTAAAAGTGTGTTTTGCCATATGTGAAGGGTCTCAGTGTTTATAAATATGCAAATTTAGCTTTTATGGCTAAAAGAGAACAGTATTATGCTTTCATCCTCTATCGGCATGTCAATGTGACATCGCTAAAAAAATGAATGACTGGGTGAAGGAATTTTTGTTCATTCCCTAGATTTCTCAATTTATAATATATGCTAGTCTATATGAGATTTGACACAAGCAGGCATCCGGCCTGACGTTAAAGAACTCCTGCAGGATTTATGGCATCACTGAAGAGCAGAGGCACATGAACTAATCATTCACTTCCAGATATTCCCATGAATCACTGCACAGGTTTCTGCTCCATCCTCTGTTCTCAGCTAAGATAACTCTTTGAAGTCAAAAGCACTTCTATACAGTAGAGAAGCAACAAAAATCAATCACGATTTGCCTCTTCAGTTGTGTTTATTAGAACATATGCAGCAGCCTTACTGTGAAGAAACTATAATCCAGTAAAAAGGCAGCAAAGATGTACCATGGTGTGTGTACTGGAAATCATGCGTAAGTATCATGTGATCAGTTTCTCCAGACTGTAATTCCTAATACAGGAAATCATACAGACAGATAGATACCTACTGAGGGCTAAGAGGCCATTCCCATCGCATTTTGTACTGTGTTTCTTTATTGCAAGTGATGAAGGCATAATTGAAAAAAACTGCCCTAGTTTTGTCATTGAAAAATGCCGAATATAAAGACAGCTTAATTCAATTTATATTTTGAAGTCCTTGACTTTATGAAGTAAGGCAACATTTGCACAACAATGTTTTAGAATGTCTTAGAATGAGCCTCATAAAATACATAGCAAATTGAGAAGATCACCAAACACACATTCAAGATACTGGTGATTCACAAAGCAGTCATTCATTACATTACTATAAATGATCAAAACACACCCTGTGTTGACTTCTGTATACAGTGCAAGTACACAGTTAGACCTAGTAGGAATGGAATACTCCTGCACACTGATTAAACACAAGGCCAACCTCTAGCATCTTTTACCATTCCACCCGGTACTTTAAAATCTATTAGCAAATACTGCAAGAAAGTAAATAGTCTGCAGGAAAAATTAAAGGAAGAAGATAAATGGATCCGCACTATGTGTAGCAGAAGAAGCTGTTTCTATGTGCACTCACAAACTTGGATTAGTAAATTTTCATGATGATACTGATCACATAATTCGAAACAGAAAGAACTTGCATTTGTAAGATTTCAGAGCTAGAAGACTCATGAGACACTTTGAGTTTTTCTTATTAGGTATAGAAATCAAAACATAAGAGTAGTAGGTTAGATTAAATAGCCTACATTAAAGCAGTTTTAAAATATGTTTTACACACACACACACACACACACACACACACACACACACACACACACACTAAGACACAGCCAAGCACCCTGTATATAACTTTAACATTTTGGGGCCTCCTAAATCTAGACTATCTCAGTATTCATACTGATGAAAATCAACATGCCTTTTATTCTCCTTCACACAGTCATTCATGCTTCTTTATTTTTAATGTCCTACCCCATCTTTTTGTTCACCTTTTATTGGAATTGAGTAAAGAGTCTGCTAAGTGTTGCCACATTAAGTCTTGGAAGCTTATTTTCAGCATTCCATTTTAGGCAATATCTAAGAATACTTATTCCAGGAGTAAACAATACTAACAGTGGAGCCAGAGCAAGCTACATGGAAGGGCATTATGAGCCAGCGTAGTGACTAAGTTTCAAAATATTCTTCACTGAGTGCTCTTCCATGAGATGCAGAGCCTGGTTGGGATGGCCACAGTCTTTGCACATCCACTGTTCCTCCAACCTCAAAAGGAGAATCCACAAAGAAAGGCAAGCCCTGTTTTGTACTTGATCTCCTAATGTTTACCGTTTAGCACTGATAAGTCATTTTCTTTCAACTGCTGCCAACTTTACCTATGCCACAAGATGCAGCATTTTGTTACTACAGCACATCTGGTAAACAGCTTCCTATTGTGACTCTAAAAAATGATAAAGAGCCTGCTTTTATTTTGCTGGGTGAATTAACAGCACAGAAGGAGAAGGTCTTTATATGTTTAATAAATATCTGACTGGGAAATTGTTTAGAGAAAACAGAATAATTATTGACAAAAATGTGTCAATAATTTTGAAAAGTTACTTGAAAATTTGAGTAGACTAGATGGAGGGGGGCTTTACAGTATGGTAAGGGAGGTCCAGTTGAACAGAAAGGACCCACAAAAGGCTCAGAACTACCTTACCAATGTTCATCTAATTAAATACTAGGATAAAACTGTACTCACCAGTATTTATGAATGCCTTGTCAACAGTGCTCAAACCACACTTTACAATATATGCTGTGTAGACATCTGTTGTGTA